AAAGATGTCCACCTCACATCTTTCCTATTCTAAGACAGATTCCAAGCATTTCCTGTTGGAAAAGGCTTTTTTTTTAATCATCAGCTCCTTCTACTTCATGTTGGAGAAACGCACAAAAACCAATAGGAAGGGAATGGTGCTATGACAACTTTTATTACCACACCTCAGGTCTCCTTTGCTGTGCCTACTCAGAAGCCCTGGACAATTCTGCTGTGCCACTGGGAACTTCATGACCAGGAAGTCAGAGCTGCAGGATTTCATTCCTGTGGAATACAAAATCATCTCTCATGGAGCCCTAAAATCCTGAATCTGAATGTGAAATGATCTCCCAGCATTGCCTCTTCTCTCTCAACTACTGTGTGAGATGAAAGAGATGTAAAGAGAGAGATGTCAGCAAAACTCAGTTCTTGTACTCAGCCCTTGCCTGAGTACAGCATAGTTACAGGATAACAGATGTATAGTTTAAGGTACTATGCGTAAAAATTGAGTCCTATAAATTTACCCACGTGCTAATACTGCTCTTGAGGGGAAAAGACACTTTCTTATACTTTAAAACATCAGCTTATTTTCCTTAATATGAACCCACTATCTTTGAAATGTTTAATGGGACCTACTAAGAAGTAAATTCTATTTGCTACAACACTTTTTCTTAGATAATGTGAAAACCTTTACTGTTTTTGTAGAATTCCCAATCACTGAAGCTCTTTTCTGTTGAGTGATGAAACAGAAATCAACAACCAGATTTTTTTTATTTTCCCATTTATGTGCTGGTGACTTAGGCTGCTGTTTTCCTTTAATGTTACTATAGTCTAGAAGCAGAAGACCCCTTCATCTCTCAAGAACTATTAACCTAAAGTCTTAAGCTAGAATTACAAATATATACTATGTTACAGCAAACAAAATTTGTTCAGAAACTCTCTATCATCATTTGCATTTGATCCCAAATCAAACGGGCTGCAAACACAAATAAAGCATGGAAAAAAATAAATAAAACAAAAGCATAGGGAAAAGCAGCTAGCTTACACAGAGTGCAGTATTGACTTGCATGTTGTAAAAGGAAAAAAACCAGAACTCACCTCATCAGTTTCTAAGTGACACAGTTCATTCCAACCCATTTAACCTACGCAAAATGCTGGACTCTCATGAACAGCAAAATTTGAAAACAATACAGACAGCTCTGCCAGCAAGTCTCGCACAATCACAGTATCTGTCTCAATACAGCTGGTCTTGCAGCAATATGAATTTCAGAAGGTAAAACAAAAACAAAGTAAGATTGCACTGCTAAACATTTTCAGTTTGCTCTCCTTTACCCTGGTCTTTTCAGCAAACTTATTTACTCTGTTTACGTATCTTTTAACTATTTTGCTGTTATAGTTCCTTGATTCCAGCACTAAAATTTGCCACAGGTGAATGGATAATGTACCTCTCCTCATAGTCTCCTCATAGTCCCCATGACTATCAAGCCTGTGTACTGCCTCTTCAGTCTCCCTATACACTGCTCAGCTGCAAGATGGAAGACTTATTTTACTCTTTTAAGGACAAGTACACCCAAGAAGATGCTCAAGAACTAAGTACCTAGCCAACCTCCATCAACCAGCTTAAAAATTTTAACTTGCATATTCTACAGTTATGAATGTATATAGGTTACCAAAAGGCAGAAAACCTGATTTGTAAAATCCTATTTATATTATGAAACATTTTCTGTAACTACAGCTAAATAAATAGATTAATTATATTTAAAGCCTAAGGGTAAAAAAAGAAGTATTTTCCTCACAAATATTTCAACTGCAACAACTGACACTGAAGCATAAACAATGCAGCTGATAAATGTTCATGATAAATATAAGGCCCCTCAGTTTAAAATTCTGCCTATTCAAATAAATATAAGTCAAATTTTAAAATTGATTTGCTCAATTCTGTTATAATTTCCTGATACAACTTTTGTTAAAAGTTTATAGCAATTCAAATGTATTCAGGCAGACCTACCTCGTAACACTGTATTTGATTACATCTGAACACAACTGCCTTTACAGCATTTCAGAAGTCATCAGCTGACATCTCCAATAACTTGTTAAAGAAGAACTACTTCCAAAATATTCTGTAGCAAGCAAAGTATGGCAAGTATGACTTAAAACACAGATTTAACTGGTGTCTTCATGCAGTCCCATTACCACCAGATAAAAGAAAAGGCTTTAAAATATCACACTAAAAAGTACAAAACTAGTATTGCTAACTTCTTTTTTTGTCATTAATGCTAGAAAATAGGAAAAACTTAAGTCCATGACTCACAGCTCCCTAGGATAACGGGCTCCCAAGCAGCTTCATGTTTCAGCATCTGTAATGTTCTAGGGCAACAACTCCTGTAAGGGTTGCTAACGTTGATATAGTTACTCTAGACAAGCCCAGCTCAAATAACAAAAGAAAATCTTTGTTTGAAAGCCCTTGAGAAAGCCACATATTTTAATTATGTCAGAGAACCCTTCTGTGACACCAGACATTTGCAAGTTGCACTTCCCTCCAGAACAAACCTCAGTGGAAGAAAACTGGAGACAGAACTCAGAATGCACACATCAGACTATGGCACAGAAGTGTGTATATATATATATTTAAGACTATAACACAGAAGTGTTTCTCCATCCAGTCTTCAGATACCAAAGGCAACATCCTCCTATCCTGCATTCTGAGCCAAGACATACACATTGACTAGGTGAAAGAAGATACAAAAGTCAGGGAAGTAAAGTAAGTAACAACATGAAAGAATCAAGTTTTTATTATTAATGAAGAATAAGATGTTATTATAGCTCAAGGTCACATACGACAAAACAATCTTCAGTTAATGTCACATCTGTTACATACCGAGAGAATCAAAATTAAAACATAATAATGGTTTTGGTTTGTTTTCTTTAAAACCATCTGTAGAATGAATTTGTCACATGCTGAAAGATTGTGTTCCACAAAGGCCCAGCAGGGTCTGCTATTCAGGGTGAGGACTGAGACCCCAGGGGACACTGGAGTCAAACGAACTCCAAATATCAGGTGACAAAATAGGATTTCATAGAATCTGCAATATCTCTTAAACTTAGTTTATTTTAAAAGGAATCATTTAAATAACAACTCAGGAAGTTTGACAAAGTAACTAGAATAAACATGGTGTTCCCACGTACTTAGGTCAAGTCTATCCCACAGAGTTTCTGTTTGTAGAATGAATACTATATTAAGAATATAACCTACCACAACAGAACAGCGATATAATGGCAGCATAAAAATAAGATACATGGGAAGTGGAAGTGGAGGGTGGAATAAGAACCACAATCTGTTCAGGAAGGAAGAGGGACAGAAGTGAAACAGAAAAACTTAACCTCTATCAAGCAACATCTATCTGTTTAGAACAACATCATTCTTTCATAAAACTTGACAAAGTTAGTGTGCCAACATAAAAAGCAACCAGCTATTCTAAGTTCAACAAACCTAAATAGAGCCAATATTTAATTATCCCTTCAGTATGTGATAATTTTACACATACAATACTGTATCTGTCCATTTTACAATATTACCTTCCCATGGGAGGAGCTGGTGTAATGCACTATGCAATTTTCACACTGCAAGTAATCAGTATAATAAAATAAAAGTTAAAACAAATGTTGAAAAAAAAGCTATGTTCCTAGTTAAAAATAAGAAAGCAAGGTAGGTAAGAAAGCAATTTTAAAAATTATGCAAATTCTTTCAAAATAACATTTTCAATGAAGGTCTTGAAAACTTTCTTGAAAGTCAAACCAATTTTGAAATCCTATATACACACAAAAAATAAAAGTACTATTAAATCTGTGTGAGAATCTGGCAAGATGCTCTGTTTATCTGTTTCCTCTGTTTTAGATGCAGCACATCTACTTCACCATGAATCATTTCCAGAAAAGGAAAAAGGTAAACAATAATGAAAATCAAGTGCATAAATATGAATTAAAGGAAACAAAGCACATGTACTGCCAGGTTAAAACAAACATGCAAACAAACTAAATAAAACAACAGCAACAACAACAACAACAAAAATCCCCAGAACCTGACCTTGGTCAAAACCAATATTAGGCTACAAAACATACCTGAAAATCTAATCACAGAACAGAAATTGCAGAACAAGGAGATACTTAATTCAGGTCTCCAGATAGATGAACTCTCACTAATGTTCCCAGAACAACACTTCAAACTATTTCTTCCCCCATTTCTCTTTCCTACCTCTCAGCAGAATAAACCCCTCCCTATAGGGAAGCTGGCAACCCCACTCCACAGGTCTGCATCCCCATCTCCATCAACACTCACTCCCAGTTGCAGGGAAGACACAAACCTTATTAGGAGCCCACTGACACACACTGCCTTTCGCTGATGATGCCATGGGGTCACGTAAGTAAGAGACTGGAAGGTTAATGGTGGGGTTTGTAAAGTCCTAACTATTGCCTCTCTGTAGCTCTGAGTTCATTCTCCATTCACGAGAGCATCACATCCTGTCCTATCCTGTCCTATCCTGTCCTATTCCACCTCCATTATAACTGGGGTGTAAAATGAGAACCTCTTCTCGCACTGTACAGCAACTTACTGCCTAGGTAGCCGGGCAGATTTCAAAGGGATTATTGAAGGATCTGGACATACTCCAATATAAAGACGATAAAATTTGTCCTTCTGAATTTCTTCTTCAGAAGATTATTATCTTCTACCTCTCCCTCTTTCTCTTATTGTTACACACCTATCTTTATGTCTCAAATCTCATCATTTTCTTCGTATTAGGAGTAAGGAAATGCACGCATTCTATAGGGAAAGCAAATTTATATAGTTATCATACATGTCTTTAGCAGTTGGTGAAGATGAAGAAAGATTTTTTAATTACTAAATAAATTAAAATTTAATTATTGATTAAAATGGAGAGGGACTGAAAACTGGTTACTAACTAGAAAGGCTGGCAGTGCTGGTGTCAAAGATTCAGAGAGCTAAATTTATTTTTAATTATTTACCTGCAAGCAGAGATAATCTTTCTTCAGCTCTGCTTCTTTTGCCTTTAGTCAGTGCCTTGTTCCTTCTCAGGCTGAAAGAAAAATTTTGACAGAGTCATCCCAGATATAAAAAACAGAAAGAGAAATAAAATAATAAGAGTTCTATCTAGAACTGTGAAGGAATGTAAGGAAGTATTGACAATTCAGCTGGTCTTACAAATGCATCAAAAGCATGATACACACAGGAACATGTCCCTAATGCATTGTCACTCATTGTCAGAGCTCTGAGGATATAAAACCAATAGTGACACAAGATGAAAGACTGTCAAGGATCATGCAAAAGTATCTTAAACTATACCATTACAATGCCTAAAATGGCTATATTGTTTTCCTCATTTCAATTAAAGCACTGCTCCATAGTCTTCTTCTGTCTTCAGAAACAGTTTGCTTCAGCTTCCTATTCAAACTGTTGACTTTTTTTTCCTGGATCAAAAGTCCAAGCTACTAGAACAAAAAGTCATACATGGATGCACAGCACAATATAAAATGAAAATGTGTTACAAGTGGAAAATCATATTCCTCCTCCCCTCATCCCACAGTCAGAAAACTAAACAGCCTACTTACAATCCACTCAATCCTTGATGATTTACCCATCCACTGTAAACAATTTTGCTTAACTTTTCTTACACTAAAAAAAATTAAATATTAGCTCCTTACACATGTCCCATTATCAGAGATCACACCTTTCCAACACATTATAGAAGAACTTTCAACCTTTACTTTACCTTGGATAACATGCTTTCTTACATCAGATCCACACTACCTTATAGCAACATGATACTTCTACACCTATTGATACTTTGATCTAGGAATTGTTTCCAACAAATAACCATAAAAGAAGGATTTGTAAGAAAATGGCTACTTGAAGTGGATTTTCAGAGGAGGACTTAAGCAGTAGTCCTTGAGTGGAGCTAGCTTCTAGTGTCATCTGACAAGAAAGGCCATGTCCACAATCCAAGCAGCAGCAGAACTGGGATACACGCAAGCAGCAGGATGTCTTTGGTTTCACATACTTGAGACATGGGACTAGGTAAGAAGAAAAAAAAAACCCACAGCACTGTGTTAGCTGTGCACCAATCCTGAAGGCTGAAACACGGAAGGCCATGACCTTTACCACCACAGAATGACCATGTGCATGCCTGAATACATATTTACACATTTTTCTGCACACTCACATACACATTTATATATGACAAAAAATAAACTCAAGAGAAAAAAGAATTTAGCTCCAGCAAAATATCTTAGGTGCAATCATGATCTTTAACTCAACAGATTGGCAGTACCATTTGTAACTAACTTCCTAAACTGGAAATCACAAGGCAGCAAAAAATGTACAGAGGCGGCTACAAAGAGAATTTTAGTTGCTCTTAAACAAAGTATTAGTCCTTGTTTTACAGCTAAGTTTGCTTCCTAAGCTAAAATTTTCAATATCCTCTGAAAGAGGGCAGAAAAAATATCAAAATAAATACATAATTTAGCCTGTCTGGCTGACAGCTACTGAGAAATACAATGATAGTGTAAATCACAGAGGAGAGAGAGGAATTACACAGCATGAATCTGAAGGAGCATAAATGAAAAAGTGGGATGAACTCAGGGAAGAGGTTGGCATAGGATGAGCATGAGAAAACATTTCTTAACAGCAATACATTATAAAATAGAATATATTTTCCCACAGAAAGGGAAGTCATTTGAGGCTAAATTTGATAAAACACTGGAAAGCACTGCAAAGAAAGCATTTCAGAATTGATGAGGGCATGGAAGAGAACACTTCATTAATCCTGTCCTTTATGCTTCTCAAGATTAGATTTCTGAGCAAGATTTCAGTAGGTTCTTGTCTTCATCAGCATTAAGGTTAGAAGTGTTTAGAAGTGTCATTTGTGTTTGATGCAACCATAACATGCTGAACTATTTAAGAATTATTGGCAATTTTAATCCCCTATTAGTTATTCTTTTGCCTATAATTCAAAATTATCCTTTTAATTCTGGACTTTTATAGTATTTTACTTCAAGCATTTCAAAGGACTTCACCAACATATGTCTACTAAGAACATCTTTCAAAATCAATACAGTGTAGAACACTGCCTTCCATTGATCCAGAAGTTATCCTGCGACTGTCCAGTTCCTTAATTGTCAGGTAACACAATGCTGGAGTACTTAAGACACAGGAAATTAGTTAAAACTACTGCCAAGAAGGAAAACAAAATTCATTCTTTTAGTCTGATGCCTGCAGCACAAGAGATCATGAACCAGGACAGGTTTAGGAGCAGTGGTAAAACCAGTGTTCCCTTAAAAGACCAAGTATTACAACAGGAAATGCACTACTGGTTGCATTGTGGTTTTCCTATTATTACTGTTCTTACAATCTTACTTTAAACAATACACAAGTCTGCAATTCAATTTAGAAAGAGATGGGGTAACTCACAAAAAGCTGACCAAGAGAAGAGCTTTGTTACCATTCTATTCTTCCCGCTGAACTTCCACGTAGTTTTTTTAAATTCACAAAGAATTCAGGAGTATAGCTGAATTTGAAATATGGATGTTTCTCCTCCTAAATAAAAATGTGTTTTTCTACAGGGCAACCAACTAAATACTATGTTTTTTAAATAGCAGAGTCAGTCAAGGCCTCCTGTTGATACTGTGGAGATCTTAATTCACCATACAGAACAGTTAAATTATAGTTTGTCACATTTGCCACTAAAAACCTAAAATTCTTGTGATTTATGATCCTTCTCTTAAAGGTCCTACTCTACACTGTGTAGGATCTCACTGTGCATGACCCTATCAATCAAGAACTAAGACAAAGAAAGGAGACACCACACCAGCACAGAAAAATTAGCATGTTTTCACAAACTGAAAAAGAGTGTAATATTTCAACAATCAATTATCATTCTGACCCCCAAAGAAAAATAGTGAAAACCAACAGCAGCATACCAGGAAAGTACATGCTCTCTGAAAGTGTTCAGTGCCATGTCATAAAGCTGAAATAGTGCACCACAAGGAACAATTCAGCAACAGATGACATCAAATATGTCCCAGAGAATAGAACAGCTGTTTCTTTCCACTCCAGATCACAGCCCCTGCATGTACTTCATCCAAATTCCTTCCCTTCCCTCCCCTCTTTTAGCAACTACAAACTTAAATATTCCAGGTACTGATACCACTATAACCTCTCAAAGTGCTTGTTTATGCTGAGAGACACAGAGAGGCAAGGCACATGCCACCTTCCTTCCCAGACCAAAGGCTGAAAGCAAAGACCTCTGTACAAATGAACACCCAACAGCCCTAAATTCAGTGTATCCCTTGGGAATTCAGTTTCCCCTTGGGAATGAGAAGGAAGTTAATGAAGTGGTTATTTCTGCTTCCCCATGCACAGGCTCCAGTGTCTGAGGACACACAGCGGTCATTTGGGCAGTGTCTGTCCTTTGAATTCCCTCCAGGCTTGCAGTGGTGCACATACAGAAAGGCTAGGAGAAACACAAGTATCCCAGTCAGAGCAATGACCACCTCCTGCAGAATGAGACATATTCTGGGACCACAACCCATCGCTTCCAAGAAAACACAATGACAAATGAATAAGAAAATAATGAAATTTTCTTGATAATAGTGCCAACCCAGCTGCACAAAGGTGACTAGTTTCTGCCAAAAATTGACTTTCCCTCCTTGAGTAAAGCTAGAAAAGGGAGACAGGACTTTTTTTCTTTGATAGATTTATTTTGCATCTGATCATGCATTGTATGTGCTTAGTGCTTATTCAAAAGTGGTTTCTAGGCTTTTTCAAGAGAAAAACATGGTTACCTAAAAAATTCAAAAAATAAAACACAAAAACTGTCAGGAAGTTTCAGAAACAGGATTAGCATCTGAGGCTAACTAGAAGTAATTTATAATTACTTTTCAAATATTAATACTGTTCCTGTAAACAAAGTTTGGTGAATGCTTTCATCCCACTTAGTCCCTCATCTTTTAGACCTGAGGATTGTACCACAAAAATTTTATTTCCAGCAATACCTGAGGGCTGTGGCAAAATTACATCCACACGTCCACAGAACAGTATCACATAACTTTGCTAAACTCTCAAACTTAAGTTTGGCTCTGTACGTGACAGAACTGTATCTTGTTAAGCTGTCTGAAGCCCACCCTCAATAACAAAGGGCAGGGTGGCCACTGCTGCTTTCAGGGAAGATGAAAAGTCTGTAGACACAAAGCCAGAGTTCTGCTATAACATGTATTAAGCAGCCACCAACAGCTGCAAAGATGGGGAGTACCAGCAACCCAGATGGGCTCTGCTTCTTGCATGACAATCTGCACCAACAACATGGCTTGGGCTACAAGGAGAGTTTGGCTGGTCCCACTGGCAAATGAAGGTCATGCTTGATTAGTATTTCGCCATGGGGGTGTCCTGACTGCCAAGACCTAACCCATAACAAACTGGTTTGTAACTTACAAAGAGGGAAGACCTCATGATGCTTTTTCCAGTACTGCAGCTGCACATATTTTTCTGCATTTCCTGTAATATTTCTAGCTTGGGCAGAAAATCTCCATTTCCAGAAACCTAAAAGGGCTGCTAAAACACAGCATACCTGTAAAGGTAAATTTGAAATAAATTCATGTGTCTATACTAACTAAATCCAAAAGCACAGAACTATTTTACTTCTTTACAACAAACTGTAAATTCCATCAGATGTACAACTGACAGTAACACTCAAATGCATATGCAATAAAACATGAGTTAAATTGGAAGCGGCAGCTGAAGCACTTTTGCCAGAGACATGTGGAATATCTACATGGTAGTTGTTTTAAATATCTACTATATATATTTGCTATATAAATAGCAAACTGAAGGAAGTAGGAACCATATCATGATACCTGAAAGAAGGTTCTAGTGAAGTGGGGACTGATTTCTTCTGCTGTGCCTGCAGTGAGAGGACCAGAGGAAATGGTCTTAAACTGAGACAGGGGAGATTCAGATTAGATATTAAGGGAAAAAAATACATTGTTCGGGTGGTGAAGCATTGGAATAGGTTACCCAGAGAGATGGTGGAGTTACCATCCCTGGAAGTGTGCAGGGGACTCCTGGATGCGATGCTGGGTGATGTAGTTTACAGGTTACAGTAGCAGTGCTGGATGGACAATTGCACTGGAGACTAAAGGTCTCTTCCAAATTTGACAATTCTATGACTCTAAATAAATTGTATTGCTGATAAAAATCAGCATTAAATACAGCTGCACCACTACACCTGTAGGTTATAAAGTTAAGTTTATTCTGCAGTGGCAAAACTTTCAGCAAAGGAGGATGTATGATTTAAATAATAGAATTCACCTTAAAAACAGATTTGAGAGAGGGACAACTCAAACATCACTGTAACACAACAGGTCCTGGTACAGATGTACAATGACTTCAACTGTCTATAGTGATTCCAGAGAATCACAGAATGTTGGGGTTGGAAGGGACCTCTGAAGATCATCTAGTACAAGCCCCCTGATGAGGGATGGTCACCTTGAGCAGGTGACACAGGAATGTATCCAGGAGGGTTTTCAATGTCTCCAGAGAGTCAGACTCCACAAGCTCCCAGCACAGCATGTTCCCCTGGGCATGTTCTGCTATCCTTAATGTAAAGTTGATTCTCACATTGAGGTGAAACTTTCGATCTCTAGTTTATGGCCACTGCTCCTCATTCTTTTGCTGGGCATCACTGAAGAGCCATCACCCACCTTGTAATCCACCTCTGACATACTTATGTGCATTAATGAGATCCCCTCTCAGTCCTCTGTTCTCCAGACTAAACAGGCCCAGCACCCTCATGAAGCCAGATGCTCCAGACTCCAAATTATCTTGTGGCCTCTGCAAGATCCTCTCCAGTACATGAACTCTGCAAATGTACACAGCGATTCCGAGACAACCCTTTGCACACACTGTTGCTCCTTTCCAGCCCCGATATCCATCTCCCCCCGCCAGGATCCACCTCCCCGTGGATCCCACCAAGTACGGCGCTGCTACCCTCGCCGAGCAGAGGTTTCGCTTTCCCTGTCGCTCAGGCCTTCCCTCCCTGCCCTTCACAGCCGCACGGCCGAGCCCGACAGGCACCCAGGGGCAGTCGTGCCTTGGGATCCCCGCCGGAGCTGCCGGGCAGGCCCGACCCGGCGGGACCCGAGAACCGACCC